GTGATCAAATAATTACATAGAATTATCAGGCAGTCATTTGGTGTCATAGTATTAAGTGTTTGAACCCAACATGCAGTTTTTATGAAGATCTCTAGGCATTTTGCAAAGCCTACATCCACATACATGTGCACAAATCCAATATGTTTTCAGCTAACAGCACTTTATCATCATTATTATTTACTATTTGTATTACCATAGTTTCTAGGAACCAGAACACCATTATGCTAAGCACTGTAGTGCTTTACTATCACAAATTGTGTTTTTCATTTATACGAGATCTTTGGAGATAGACTAAAATAGCATAGTATGCCCATACGTTAGATGTCTGTGACACAAGCAGTAGGAGAATGTAGTGCCATAGAGATAGAAAGGCTATTTACATTTTAATTAAAATAAAGAAAAAATTACATTCATAATATAGGGGATTATATGCATCAAAATCTTTCAAATTTAAATTTTTATATTGCATAGTATCAATGATGCACGTAAAAAGTAACGATTTACATTGCTGAAGCTTCTAGAGGCTTCAAACAAGTTAAGGTACGATTGTGCTAGGAACTGTACAACCATATAGTAGACAATCCCTGCTCCCAAGTGGTTACAATGTAGGGCCCCAATGCAAAGACCACTCCTGCTTAACTTTAAGCATGGGCGTAAGCTGTTGTAGGAACAGGACCTCAGCTTATTTACCTAAAGGAAAAAATAAACAAAGAGTCCCTTTGTATCATGCACAACCTATACTGCCAAAGAAAGGATAACTTCAGACCACAAACGATCGCTGCAAGCGCCAAACACTAGCAAAAAGAATGTGTGGGAAGGGTCAGATCTTTTGTATAACTTTGGAATATTTTCAAAACAGGGCTTTGAAAATCCACTTGCCAAGGGTAAGTGGAAAGCCTACAGGCCTTAAACCATCTATATCTATAGAATTTAATCTTTCGTTTGAAAAGACTGATTTTTTCTAACTCTACCGATACAAAGAAACTCCCAAATGTGACAAACGATGCTGTCTTCTTGAGTCTGCAAAGTCAGTTCTAGGACAACTGCAGTTATTCACAGCTTTGCCAAGCAGCAGCATGAAATTAAAAAAAAAAAAAAAAGATTCCGGTCCGTTTTGCTACTGTTATTATGACATCAATAGGAAGCAATAAAATTGTGAATAATGTCAATTTCATTATGCTGCTGTTTGGGAGAGCTATGAGTAGTAGAAACATCAATGGAAGAGTTAGCAGTTTGCTGGACCCCAAATGAACAGGTTAGAGGGGTAGAGTAACCAAGTAGCTCTGTTATCAGAAAACTCCACCTCTTCAGGAGTGTGTATGTCTGATAAATTTGGAACTAGAGGATATCAAAAAAGAAGCACCCTAAGCAGAGTTTATAGACACTAGTAAATTTGTCAAGACTTATTTGTCAACATATAGCCCAAAAGATACTTTAAAAACAGACATTTAAAAATCTTTCTGCAGAATTATTTTCAGCAAGTCATATCTATCTCCTTAGTAAGACAGAACAAGGTATGTTTACAGCCTTCTATACAGGAAAAAAGGTTTACATCTTTACAATTTGTAATTACAATTAGTAATTACAATTACCCTGACAAGGTAAAAACAGAGATAAATAATGAACTCAACATTTCCAATACAAATCCTTAAACCAACTTGTGCTATCAAAATACTCAGTGGAGGAAGGAGTCGGTCTTTTCTCCTTCCAAACAGAGATATGTTCTTGTATGAAGCATGGCGTAGTATGGGTTTTCCATTGGATTAAAAAATCCTTCCTCACTTCATTTGTGGGATAATTCTACATATTTCATATGTACATTTCTGAGCATGAGGGAAAGAAAGAGGAGCAGGAGAAGAGAACACGATACTGTACATGGAAAGCAGAAAGCCCAACACAGCTGTTAGTTGTACATAGTTATGTCTTCAAGGACCCAGATTTTAAAAAATGGTTACCTAAAACTGGGGTTTTAAGTCTATAATTGGCCAGATTTTTAAAAATACTAAGTCTCCAAGAACTCCCCATTAATTTGGTCAAGGCTTCTATTTTCAGTTAAAACAGCTAAGTTGGCAGGGAGATGAACTAATAGATCTTTTCTACCCCAGCTTCTATAATTTATACTTGGGGAGGAGGTTTTACAGTTGTTTTATTCAGGAATTTCCTTCAACAAAAGTTAAATGTTGTAGAACTCTTGCCTATCATTGCCATTTAGTTTTATTTTTTAAATATGCATTTATTTTTCTGCCTCATGACAGGTTTAAAGATGTGCAACAGGTTAAAAGTATGTACTTTCCCTCTATAATATTGAATATAATCAATATAAAAGATCTGCGAATTGCACTTTTATAATAATAATAATAATTGAACTGATACTTATTTATGACATCTTCCCACTGGACCTGTTGCTTCAAGTGGGTCACTCTGGCAGCACTGCACAGAACAGCTGTGCTAGGGAACAATTTCAGTGCAAAGTTAGTCTCTGAGAAACCTCAACTCTGTGGATTTAATAATCTAGAAATGATGTCAGCCATTAACATGGAATCCTTCTTGTATGTATTCCAATGGTGAAGTGAAGTCAAACTAAACTGTCATGTGTTCAGAAAAAGTTCAGTTTTACCTTCTGCCTGGAGAATGAGCACTACAGAGAGGGAGAGTGGTGACACAAGTCCTCGTAGTGTTCCAGTGAGATGAAAGACCCCTGAAGGAGGCATGCGTAATCTATGGAAGACTCCATTTACAGGAGGCACAAGCTACACAGAAATCTTAGAAATACAGAGTAAGATATCTTATCTAGTTAAAATTCAAGTGAGGTCTGTGCACTGTGTTAAACCAGTAAGTTTTGTGCAGCGGCGGTGGAACAATCTGTATAGTGGGGCCGCTGAGAGCCATTGAACCTAACTGTAAACCCTGTATACCATGCATGGAAACTACTTTAAGTACCTACGGTTTTGTGGTTAGAGACTGATGCAAATAACCTTTATATATTGCCCAGCTGAAGAACCACCTGTGTAGGAAAGCACTCACTTGGTCCAGATACAAAAAATGTTTTGTTAAAAAGCAGAGATGATAATGCTCAACCTTCAAACAAGATTTACACAGAAGTAGCTGGGAGGAACAGCTGTATCTGGACAGTGAACAACCACCAGGTGTTTCAGATAAGCCCAACACTTGTTTGGCCATACCCATGAATGGCAAGTGCCTTCTGTAGGCACAAAAGAGAGTTTGGTGTGAAGAGAGCAGCTAGGCAGGGGCAAGAGAGGGGCACGCTGTGCTTTCTGCACTGACTTTACCGGGCTGTTACCCATGCGGGACACACCCCCCACAGAGGAGCCGCGTGTCCGAGTCTCTCCCACCCCGCCTTTCCCCTCAGTGCCTGGCACAGGGGCCCTGAACCGCCGAAACCAAGCCCGGTCTGCAGGCTAGGACCCTCTCGAAGCCCTAACAGCCGATCCACCCGAATCAGCACGACCCCTCCCCCGCCCCGGCCTTTACCTCCTCGGGTCCCCGCTCTTCCCCCAGAGGATCCGGGCCGCCTGCCCGCATCGCCGGTTCCGGCCGGGGCCCTACGTCCCCCCCGCGCTGCTGCCGCCTCCTCCCTCCCGGGCTGGCGGGGTCTCCAGGCTCCCTCCCAGGCCTGTTGCCTCTGAGCCCAGGCCGCTTCCCCGGAGGCGCCTCGGCCTCCTCCAGTTTCCGCTTCTTGTCCGGGCCCCCGGATACCGCGCGGCCGGGGCTCCACAGCTCGGGGCCGTCCCGCAGGCACCTCCCGGGCACGCGGAGCAACGGAGGCGGTTCGGGCAGGAAACGCTTCCAGGGCACGTGACACACTAACGGCTCCGCGTGCCGCTTGGCCATCAGCTGGCTGAGCGCGAGCAGCTGTACCTCCGCGGCGCGCGCGGCCCCAAGCACTTCTCTCCCAGCGGGCGGGACAGCGCTAGGTGCGCATGCGACTTGCGGGGGGATAACGTCCTTCCCTCCCCTTCCGCGTCTCGTAGTGCCCTCTAAGGGGCGTGCTCATGGCGCCAGCTCTCTCGCTGCGCGGTGGGGTGGGCTGGGCTGGAAGCCGCCATCTCCACACCAATGCAGGGGGGAACACGAGAGCCTGCCACGAGTTCTGGCTGTTACCGCGTGAACCTCTTGCCCGGCTGGTCACTTATCTATGCCACCCCGTCCCGCGCCTTTCTTGGTTGGGCTGCTTGCTTCGGAACTCTCTCCTGTTTTGTAGCTACCCAGTGTTGGAGCGGGGGCACGAAGCTGTACAACCTCACTAACCACCTGTAATTTACCAGGCTCCAGCTGTTTAGGACCCTTGGTATAAACTAGAGCTAAGCACTGCTGATTTAATGCCGCCCGGGACAGAGGAGCTATGTTTCAGCCCCTGTCTTTATCTTGGCGCAGGGTGAGACCTACAATTCACCGCAAGGGTCCAGCTGTGGGCATACCAAAGTCACATGAAGAGGGATTTAGTACATCCCTGCTTAGGGACATATCTCTAGGGATGAAGTTCAAATGTGGATTCACCTTGTTGCAGCTTTAGCCCATTACAAACTTTGCTGTCGCTTTAGCATAACTGCGTTCCAGGTCTAGGACTGAGACTTTTTTGGGGCTTAGCATGCAACAAGTTGATATTTCTAGTAATGATTATCTAAATAAAATCAGTAACACAGTGTGCAGACAGGTTTCAGAGTAACAGGCGTGTTAGGCTGTATTCACAAAAAGAAAAGGAGTACTTGTGGCACCTTAGAGACTAGTCTTGGTTAGTCTCTAAGGTGCCACAAGTACTCCTTTTCTTTCAGTGTGCAGACAGATAGAGAAAAAATGCATTCTGAAATAAAAGGGCAAGAGCAACTGGGCAATAATACAGGTGTAAAGGGACTGTATGATCAACATTTACCCTAAATGTACCTTATTTTAATAAATTTAAAAATGCAAAAGGCTTTTTGAAAGTATCTATCTATAAAGAATTAAAGTAGATTGTACACACACACACACAAAAAGCCACAGAAGACCATAAGTTGCCTTCTTAAGGCAACAGGTTTATTTATTTTTATTTCCCTTAATGGCAGCATCTAAACTTTCAACAGGCTTTACTTAAAGTTGGACTAATTTATTTTTATTAAAAAAGCAAAAATCTGGTTCCTTTTAGAAAGTTCAGACTACCTGCAAGTAAACCTTTACTGAAACTGCTGTAAGTCCAATATTTTTTCTGGCTAGGGATCTGAGCAGAACAGTTTTTAAAAATGTGCAAGTATTATACAGTCCTAGACAGCATTTAAAATAGTAAATGCTTTTTTGCCCATGTGAACTTTAAAATTGTACTTTCAATTAAAGCAAAATTGGAAGCGTGAAATATCTGCCTTAAAAACAGAAAGCAAAAAATGACCCAAGAAAAAGGGACCACAGCTAGATGAGTGAGAGTAAGTTTAAAATACCATAAATTTTAAAATCTATTATCCCTGGAAAAGGCTTGATTCCCTACCATACCTTTTTTTTACTTTTAAAAGGATTTTCAAAGGGGATGATAGTATAGCTAAATTAACCATTAGATTAATGTAAGGAGAACACCATTTTGATCCTTCCTCTAAACACAAGCCATTTAATAATTATTCTCATAGAAAATATTTATATAACTTCAAAATACAAAACGATTGTATGAAATTACAATCTGTGGATTAATATCCATCTAATTTATTTAGTAGGTAATTTACTTAGAACAAGGAAACATAATATTAGAGGTAGATTTAAAGTACCAAGGGTAAATTGCCTTAAAGGTCCAACCAAGTATCCAACAATTAACCCAGGTATGCTGAAACAAATACAGAAGTTGTTGCTAACAGTCAGAGGGACTGGTGGGCAGGCACACGGGGTCACATGTCCCCCCAAGATTTCTACCAGGGTTCACACCAGAAGGTCAGAAATACGAGGGTCGCTGCAGAGGCAAATTTAATGGTTCTGTAACAAACCCTGGCAGCAGAGGCAACATGTGCGGGTGGGAGGGCGTGCCATATGGTCTAATAGGCACTCGTTGAGCCTTCTTCAGTGCAATGCACAGCACCTCCCAGCTCAAAGCCAGCTCCCTGCCCTCTGTCCAGCCCCACCTTTGGCCATACACTCCCAGCCCGGCCTTTGGCCACAAGATCCCAGCTCCCTGGACTCTATTCCTGGCTCTGTGATGGACTTTGAGAGCTGGGACAAGGCAGCTGGGCCCAGTTTTCAGGGCTGCAGGTGCACCCCTGCGCGTGCACACATGCCTGCACAGCTGCATGAGGTTAAATGCAAGTCCTCCCCCTCTGTATAATGAGGGATCCCCACCTCACTCCTAGCAGTGCAATGCAGCTTGTAAAGCACTTTGAGACACTGCTGGAGCACAGCAAGCTGATTGCTGCTCTAGACATGCCCTGTGAGCCAGCTTCAGAGCCTATCCATGCTGAACTGAGACCTCCAGATTTCTGCCAGCCTGGGGGTAGCTTTGAATGACCTTCGGTCCTTGGGCAGTGCCCCTCCATCTGTCCCCCATCTTCAGCAGGTAGCTTACACTGTCTGGAGCGGGCTGAGCCCCTACGCTCAGCCAAGGGCACATACATGAGGCTGCCCTAGCTGGCTGCTGCTGCTGTCTGTGCAAAAGGGCAGACGGTGCCATCTGCAGGGAAGGGAAGGAGCCAGGATCCCTCACCCTTACTCTTGGTAGGCTAGGGTTTGGTGTCTTCTCCTCCTCCTCTGTGCCAGATCCCAACACCTCTGCAGGTTCCCTGGGCTAGTGCACAACGCACCCTTAACTCCTTCCTGTCTGTGCTGGAGCTGGGCAACAGGAGGTGGCTGGTTTATGTCAATGGGCAGCAGCAACCTTGAGGCAGTAGCTGCCTTTCCATCATGGGAAGGGACAGAGCTGCTTCCACCAGCAGGTGTGAGGAGGGGGTAAGGGACGAGCTCTGCAAAGACACAGGTCAGGGGAAGCTCCTGCGCAAGGCAAAGGCGCTTCACATAGGATTTGCTTAATTTTAAATTTAATGACTCCCCATTATTACAGCACAGCTGTACACTCTGGGCACAGTTGTCCCAACTGTGTAAACTGCTTTCTAAAAAGAAAAGAAAGTTGCAGGATTTTTCTATTGTCTAGTAATCCTTAAAATAAATGCTTCAAACACTTTATTTAAGCAACAGATAAGTTACACTGATAAACTTCAAATGGGCAAAGTGAGAGTGCAGCTCCTGCATTACCAGACCAAGTCTTATTTCCATTTCAAGGTTAATTTACTCCCGCTCCTTTGTGACATGATGCTTTGCTTCACTCCGTACTATGATTTCATATACCAATATTCAAATTACCAAAGCCAACAAACTATTAGAATAGATTGCTAAGCTTAGCATGGCCAGAAAATTAAAATATTTTAGAAGCTCTTAAATTATATCTTTTGTTTCTATTTTCAGTCCTACAGAAAATGGTCCCGGGAGCGCTAAGTCACAATGAATGCAGCTTTCAAGAAACATTTTAGCACTGTTCAATAATTTCAGATTTTGTAAATTTTCTATTTTTAAATTGATAAGAAATCCTTCTCTAAACTGTGGCCCAGCTTGTATCATACCTCTAAACATTCATAAAGCCACAAGGAAAAATGAAAACAATTAGAATTTTGTTTAAAAACTGAGGCAGAATACAAACATTTTTGTTTTAAGCCTCAGATCAAAAGTGGAAATAATATTCCCAGTACTGATATCAAACACAGAATTGTACATCGTTTCCAAAAGGTCCTGAGAGCTGTAGATTGTGCATGTTACAGACAGCTGCAGATAAAAGGGAAATTATTTTGGATTTCAGTATTGTTTAGTAATGATTAAACCAGCCTTATCAAGACAACCTCATGGCAGACATAAAACCAGGAGTTTTAGACTTATGAAAATGGGATGTTTTTATGGATTCTGATGAATGACGGCAGTGTATCTGTACATTTTCTTCCATTTTCACTAGTACAGTACAAATATGCATGGCACAGTATATATCTGGATAGCAATACAGGTATTAAGAAAATAGACACTCTCAAATTCCTGTTAAGAATAAACAAGGCACCACTGATTTGAGGTTGTATCCAGTCATTACCTAGTCCATTGTGTGTTGTAAATTTTAGCATTATCTCCAGCACTTTTTCTGAAGAATCTATTTGAAACACTTCAACTCTGGTTTCCTAACCACAAACAACACACATTCATAGTAGTATTTCATCATGGATAGTTCATTCACAGTGTATGTTGATAATACAGATTCTTTCTCCACCTGAAAATAAAAATTGAAGTTTTCAGAATATTTTCTGAAATTGCACCTGAAGCAATTCCCTCCAAAATGTGTATTTCTCCTCTGAACAGGCATCACTTATGTGTTTACACTCAGTGTTATTTGCCCTTTAATGAATTAAAAACCAGACAACTTAAATATAACTACAATTGGCAACATAAACATGTAAGCATCTTAAAAGTTAAAAATCTATATTAAACATTTAAAGGTAAAGCCCTAATATGTATAGTTTTGGTTGACCCATCTACTCCAATAAGTATTACTCACAATCTATCCGTACCTCTAGATGGAATCCATACTGTAATATAACATTTTTTATATCCTCATAACTCAATTCTATAGAAAGTTCATTTGCCAAGTTCTCAAAGTGGTAAAGGAGAGGACCTAGAATACAAAGATAAAGGGATTCAGTAACACTAATACCAATTTTATTGTCAGAAGTACACTTTTATCTAAAGTCAACTCTATAGCATTTCAGCTAAGTATTAAGTCAACAAAAAAAAAGTTTGACACACTGAGCTGTAAAATAAACTGATAATATGTAGAGCTAGTTGACAGTGGTGCCTGTAATTAGGTTGTCTACCATTTTCCATTATTAGCCCATTTTCAGTTGCTTTACCAAACTAAAATTTCAGCAACAAATGGTTCAGCCATCTGAGAGAACAAGACTGGGGGGAAAATACACTGTTTTGCCAATGTTAAAAAGAAATGGTTAAAGAATTTAAGAAACTGAGCACCTGTTATGGAGTATGGATCTGACACTTTGAAGGGTGCAGTCCTCAGGCCAGGGAGATGTATTTTGTTTCCTTATGAAAATTCACTCAGATTTGGCTGAATCATAAGAAACTGAAAATCACTGTTGACACATGTTCAGAGGCTTGAGAGAATGAGGTAGCTAAAAATGCTGAAGATTCCATGGCTATGAATGCTGAGCAAAACTTCCCCTCTAAGTGCTCCTCCCACTCACCAGGGGCCATTGGTCATGCCAGACAATAGAAGTGAGAGCAAGATGATGAACAATTTACCTAAATTTATCCATATTCCTCCTGGTTTGAGAATTTTCCATATTGTATCAATGTAATCAATGACATTATGCGCTGTGTCTATGAAGAAGCAGGTTGCTATGCAGTCCCACATATCTGTACAAAGAAAATATATTATCGAGTGCACATGATCAGTTTTAACATCAATCCTCTGCGCAAGATTTCAGAGTTGGCTTGTAATTTAGCATTTAGTATCAGAATATATAGGTATTTAGTCACACCTAAGATCAGCTTTCTCTAACAGTAAAGAAAATGGCTAGAAGTTAAATATTTCCTGACATTTTATTGAAAGGAAACCAGTAATACTGTATTACTGTAAAAGCTGGACAAAAACAGTATGCCTACACTGCAATTAAAAACCCTGGGCTGGCTCATAACAGCTGACACGGGCTCAGGCTGCTTAATTGTGGGGTAGACATTTGGGGTCAGGCTGCAGACAGAACTCTGGGACCCTCCTTCCTTGCAGCTACTGGAGTCTGGGCTCCAGCACAAGCCTGAACTTCCATAACACATTTAAACAGACCCTTCCCCTGAGCCCTGCCAGCACTGGGTTTTTAATTGCACTTTAGATCAGAGGTTCTCAAACTGAGTGGCAGAATACATTTAGGTGAAGGGGGGTGAGAGAAGCTTTATGAAAAAACCAAACAAAAAAAGAAACATTTAATGTGGACATTTTACCCACAGCAATGCATAACTAGAGCAAAACGGATTCCTCTGCGCATATCAGGTCTTCAGATGACACTGTGCATTTGACTCTACATGGGGTTGCGCATTTTGATAGATTTCCATTAAGCTTACACAGTATTACACAAAGTTGTTGCCATCTGTACATTAATCTGTCTGCTATAATGCGGTGTGTACATTTAACTGTAAGCAGGGACCACAACTACAGTTTTGCTTTTGCTCTTATTACAATGGATCACTGGCTCATTCGTGCCACCGGGGGTGGGGGAGACAAGCAAAAAACAAAGAAGCTGAAACTGATTCAAGTGAAGCACCACTGTCGCATATATGGGTATATGTACTTGTGTGGCGGCAACAGAGATTTAAAACTACTACAATACAAAGAAGGGGGACACGATCAAATAAGTTTGAGAACCACTGGTGTTCACGTACCCTCAGGGCCAAGGAAGGAAGAGCACCAGCTGGTTATTTAGTACTTTGTATAGACAAGTAACCTCCAGATAAAAGAAAGAAATCCATCATCACTTCCAGTCTTACTAGCACTAGGAACTGAAGTGGAAAATATTTAAGTACAGTTATCTTCTGTACATGAAATAGGGGAGAAAAATTACCTCATCAGTTGCAACAAAATTATTTGTCCAGACAGATTTCACAAGTGACAATAAAGATGTTTGTGTTGACAGGAACATTGTGATCCTTGAAATACTGGTCATTGATATTTAATGAATATCTATTTGTTTTATTTGTAAATAAACTGTTTTAGTAATAATTTGCTATGTTGTCTATTTTTAAACCAACAATAAATAATTAGACTTCACTTTATTTATATCCATGTAAAGCATATGCTGTTTATATTGTGCATTTCTTTAACATCAATCATTCGTCTAATTCAAGGAAAGAAAATAGGCATGAAAGATCAGTGTTGGAAGTTGTCCAAGATGTCACTGTTCTCATTAAAAGAGCAGAGCATATATAACCCTACAACAAGGATACAATTTAGACACTTAAATATGCGAGAGCACACATAACTTTTGCTTCTTTCAATTCAACTCATTTTGGTTGAGAAGAATCTAGTCGCAATATACAACTTTAGTGCCTACTTTAATGATCCAAGCCATAATTTGGTTTTAATTTTAAATAGAATTCTGTTCTTCCATACTTGGTATATATCTAGTATGTTCATGAATTCTGACCTCTAATTTCTCTACTTACTGCACTCTGAGTAAATTTCTTGAAAATCCCCTGCTGTCATAGAAAAGTTTGCACCAGAAGGAAGACTGTGGGGGTCAACATCAGGGAAATAAACTGGTCGTATCTGATCAGCAGATCTCCTGTTATTGCTAAACTGATGAATCCAGGGATAAAGTTTATGAGAGTTAATTTCTGAGCATCTGCAAAATATGAAAGTCAGAACGATTCAGTTTCAACTAACTGCTCATGTATTACTTAGAAAAGTAAGTGTTTTGCAATAAAATTGGTAAGTATAAAATGATTTGATTTTCAACAATATGTATGATGAATTTAGTTGCTAATCTGGATGTTATAAAGTATTTCTGTAGGCTTTTACTTAGGTTATTATTCCAACTTCTTCAAGACAAATAAAACACACTAAGTTTTATTGAAGGGGGGGGGGGGGGGTGTCTTCTTTTTGCTTCCTGTATTTCAACCATGTTTTATATCTAGCTTAAAAGAAAACCAAGTGTGTAGTTCTTTCTGTAAGATGAGTGAAAATTGCCATTACATATGTTCAGTTGTGCTAAACCATTAGAATTCCCATTTTGTTTGTCATGGAAGAGGATACTTGTTTATTTTATAAATAAAGAGAAGAGTGATGACTTAAGTCCTTTCTTATTTTTATATTTTCCCAAGAATACCTATTTTCATTCTAGATTCTTGCTGAGAGTTGCCTTTCTTGAGTCAGAATAAAAGAGACTTTACAATACAGCAAAGTAAAAACATTTTTCTGAAACTGTCATTCTTTAAACAAAAATATGTATTTAGATTATTTCAATAGATCTGCAAAGTAAAATAATTTGCCAATGGGCAGTTTTACTAATATCATTTGAGCATATACATCTACAGTACTGCAATTAATCTTAACAGCCTCATGCCATTTCTCTTTCTGTACACCGCAATGTGGACCAACACATAGCAAAGTAACATGGAACCCTTACAAATTATTTCAACTATGAAAAGTGACTAAAATGACATAGTGGAGTCCCATGTTTATTGTATCAACGTCTCCAGATCACACTTGCTCAGTTTATTAAAAGATGCTTTTCGGATATCCCTGCAGACTCATCCTGGAATCAGAAGGTGAAGCTGTTTTCATTCTATCCAATGCATCACCAATAAAATACTGCAGAAAATTTTTGCCCTCAGTTATACTCACTCAGTCCCAATAATGGAAGTGGGATTGCAGAGACATAACTCTGAGGACAGTTGAAATGTGTAGGAATAACTGAGAATATAAATTGTCCTGCAAAATTTATGTTTCCTAGAACTTTGGATATTAGAGGAGTCGGGGGTGAGGAGACGGATGCGTACAGTAGACCTGATGAACACTGAAAGTGAAAGGCATCCCTCAAGGATCAGTGACACCACCCACCTCTGAAGAAGAGCTAGGTTCGTTTCCTGTTTATTGCCATGGCAGACAGTTCTATTCCACGGGTGCCCCATTGCTGCAATACATGGAGAGGTATGATGAAGCCCCCCCCTCCCCCCAATTCATGTTCTTGAGAAAAGTGCCTGCTGAAGGTGTTTGCAGTCATATTCTGAACTCCTGGAAGGGAAGCTGCTGTGATGACAAACAGCCTCAGTGCAGGAGGAGGGGGATCTTGCCCATCCTTGCAGGTTGATATAGAACACGCATTGCATGTTGTCCATCATGACCTTTATCTGTTTGCTCCAGATTAGTGGTAGGAACTAAAAGCAGGTATATCCGACAGCCCTTAGTTCCAGGAGGTTGATGTGCATAGTGGTTTCTGGAGGCAACTACCTGCTCCGGGCCATGCGTGTGTCCAGATGTGCTCCACACATCAAGAGGGCTGCATGTGTCATGATGACAACCATTGGGGGAGGGCAGGTGAAAGGGACTCCCTGCACAAACACTGTGAGGGTATTTCCACCAATTGAGAAATTCCCTTATGAAGGGGAGTATGGAAAGTAGTGTAGTTAGACTGTATACTGAGCCACTGCTGAAGGCAATGCATTCACAGTCTTGCATGGTCTATAATGAAAGAGCCAGCAGCTATATACCCCAACAGCTGAAGACAGTTCGTGACCAGGTTTTGAGGGCTGATCTGGATTGCACTGACTATGTTGGATAGGGCCACACATCTGTGCATTGGGAGGCCTGCCTTGCCACTACTGAATTGAGACAAGCTCCTATGAATTCCAACTTTTGCACAGGGGTCAAGGTGGACGTTTTGAATGTTCAATAGTAGGCCTAACCTGAGGAAGAGGTCTGTGGCTTCACAACATGCCCGTGAAGCTACATCCAGGGAGCAACATTTCAGAAGTTGTCTAGATAAGGGAACACAAGATTTCCTTTTCTGTGGAGGTATGCCCCTACTACTGACAATTTTTGAAAAGGCCCCTGGGGCAGAAAATAGGCTGAAAAGATGCACTGTGAACTATAAATGGTCCTGACCAAAAGTAAAACATAGGACTCTTTTGTGAGATTTTTGGATCGCAACATGGCAATGAGTGTTGTGAAGGTCGAGGGCCAAGAACCAATCCCCTTGGTTCAGCGATAGAATTATTGCTGCAAGTGTCACCATTTTGAATTTTAGGGCCTTCACAAAGGTGTTAGTAGCCTTATAGCTGGGATGGGTCTCTAACCCCCATTCTTTTTTGAAACCAGGAAAATACTGAGAATAAAACTCTTTCCCTCTGTACTGCACAGGAACAATTCTTCAGCCCCCAAGAAAAGGAGAGAGCACATTTAGTTTTGTAGCAGGTTCTTGTGAGAGGGGTCCCTGAAGATGGACAGGAAAGGGGCATTGGCAAGTGGAAGTAAAATGGATGGAGTACCCTATGCAGTTGATCTCCAAAATCCATTTGTCCATAGTGATTGACTCCCAAGCCTGCCAGGGGTGATAAAAGGTTGAGAAGTAGGTGGTGTTCTTCCCTGGAATCTCTGTCTCTTTCATTGAGGTTCATATAGTCTCTGGGGGAGCTCAACAATTGGGTAGGATGAAATCTCTTCACCAATGGGAAATTACTAAGCTTTCTCTTTTGGGCAGCTGTATGGATCCTGAGAGAATGCAAAGTAGCCCTGGAGTCCTTCAATGTATGCAGAGATTCGTCCACGCTGTTAACGAATAATGTATCAAAATGGAGGTCTTCGACCGTATTTTCAACCTGCTTTGGAAATCCTGAGAGCTGGAGCCAGCAGGCCCGCCTCATAACTACCGCTGTAGAAATCGAACAGGCGGTAGTATCAGCAGCATCGAGGGCAGAGGCCTGAGCAGCTAGCCTTCTGTAATAATTGGCTGGAATTGCTCTTTATGTTCTGCTGGTAGATGCTTAATGAGTTCAGCTTGACATAACTGGTATGACTGTACTTTACCATTAACAGCTGGTAGCTGGCAATTCTGAATTGCAAAGTACTGACAAATATGATTTTCTACCCAACAGGTCATGGTGCTTATGCTCCTTGTGGTAGGTCATAGATTTAGTATGGTGCTGCCTCCCACATTCATTAATTGCGTCAACCACAAAGGAGTTAGGAAAGGGATGAGAAAATAAAAATTTTGCGTCCTTAGACTGAATACAGGAACTCCTCACTTAACATGGTAGTATGTTCCTGAAAAATGCGACTTTAAGCGAAACCATGTTAAGCGAATCCAATTTCCCCATAAGACTTAATGTAAATGAGGGGGTTAGGTTCCAGGGAAATTTTTTTCACCAGACAAAAGACTATTTTATTTTTTATATATATACACATACAAACACACACACACAATAAGCTTTAAACAAACAATTTAATACTGGTACACAGTGGTGATGATTGTGAAGCTTGGTTGAGGTGGAGGAGTCAAGAGGGTGGGTTATTTCCCAGGGAATGCCTTACTGCTAAATGAAATAGCAATTGGCTGAGCCCTCAATGGTTAACTCTCACACTCTACAAGGCAGAAGGAAAGGTGGGAGGGCAGGCAGGCAGGCAGACACACACCCCCCCTGCGTGTTTGAGAGACAGAGACGTGCATTTCCCCTTTAAGTAGGAAGAGTGGGGTCAGAAGTACACTGCCTTGTTAATTAGATCAGCAAGTTGCAGGGGGCAGCTGCAGCCTTCCCTCTCTCTGTGTGTCCCCTCTGCTCTATGGAAGATGGGGTAAGCGGGGTGCAGGAGCGGGGGGAGGAGGATACCCTGACATTAGCCCCCCTCTTCTTCCCCTCCCCCCCCCCCACAGTAAGCAGGAGTCTCGGGGAGCAGCTCCAAGGTAGAGGGCAGGAGCAGCACGTCAGTGGGGGAAGGGACAGCTGAACTGCAGGCAATTGATAGCCTGCTGAGCAGCCGCTGCACAGGGAACTTAGGGAAGGGGGGAGCTGAAAGGGGGGCTGCCGGTCCACTCTGGTTCCAACCACCCACCAGCTAGCTGCAACAGGCTGCTCTTCTTGCAAGCAGTGAACAAAGCAGGTGGCTGCCACACAACATAAGAAGGGAGCATCACACAACTTTAAACGAGCATGATCCCTAATTGATCAGCAACGAAACAACGTTAACCGGGAGGAGTTCCTGCATTTCTTATCTGCTCCCTTGCATGTAGGTGGCGAGGGTGTGCCATATAACCTTTGCAGGGTCCAGTAGGGCCTCTAACAGCAAAGGTAACACAGACAGATGAAGCTGTTTGAAGGATATGAAGCAGCTTACGGTGTGGATCTTTAACCTTCTCAGGAAGGATCTGCAAAGAATCCACAATTCTATCGGCAAGTTCTTGAAATTGCTTGAAGTCATCCACCAAGGATGGAAGCGTTGGCATAGCTGCCTCATCCAGGGATGAAGAAGAGAGGTCGGCTGGTGGAGAGACCTTTTCATCAGCCCTAGATTCCTGTTCCTCAAAAGGTTTCTTCCTGCAGTTCTGGTCTCCTAGGGAGGGAGAGTGATGACTCTCTTTGTGGGTACCAGGTCAGTGAGTAGTTTTCAGAGTAGCAGCTGTGTTAGTCTGTATCCGCAAAAAGAAAAGGAGTACTTGTGGCACCTTAGAGACTAACAAATTTATTTGAGCGTAAGCTTTCGTGAGCTACAGCTCACTTCATCGGATGCCACAAGTACTCCTTTTCTTTTTGTGAGTAGTGGTTCTCAAGGGCTAGAAAATTACTGATGATAGGCTGTCCAAAGGTCCCAGTATGGCCAAAGGGGTGGTGCATGTGGCATGGGTGGAGGCATCCATAAGTGTTCATACCAGCGAGACAGTGGTCAAGCCATTTCTGACAAGCAACACCAATCTCCTCAGACATCTCTGGAAAAGAGCCTCAATAGGAACGGAGGGAGAGCTTTGCAGAGATATTTGGGAGATTAAGGCAAGATCTTCATCAAAATCATCCTCTTCCAAATCACTCTGTAGTTGTGGAGCACCGGAAGAAAGATGAAACCATCAGTACTGGGTGAATGTCTAGACATCTGGAAGCCCTCGGTAATGGGAGTATATCGGAGCCATGTAATGATGAGCTGGGCACAGCAAAGTCACGGGGAAAGCAAAACTCCTGTGATACCAAGTGTTGTCGGTACCTTGTCCATGGCCTGCGCTGAAATAATAGTGGCTGAAGGACTTGACAGTACCATGAATCTCAACTGCTTCGAGGACAATACAGAGCCGAGTGTGCTTCTCCAGTACTGGGTGAGAAGAGATAGAGCTCTTCTTGAAGCCTTGCTCCACTGGTAGTATCGATGACCTCCTGGCGCTTAAGACTCTGCAGCAGTGGTCCCCAAACTTTTCAGGGTCACACCCCCCTTTACCCCATCTGCATCCTGGCTGGAAGTGGAGCTGCAGCTCGGGGGTGGGTGGGTGGTGGGATGTGTGGTCAGCGGTAAGGAGGCTGGTGCTGGCAGCCAGGGCCCCAGGCACGAGGCCAGGAGCGGAGCTAGGTGGCACTCCCTCCCCACCCCCTGTGGGGGCTGGCCCGAGCGCTAGCCACGCCCCCCACAAAGTTCCTTCATGCCCCTCCGGCGGGCACGCCCACAGTTTGGGGACCTCTGCTCTACAGTCTTCAGGTTTGACTGGCCTGAAGAATCAGCAGCCTTGTGGGTACCAGGTCAGAGAGCAGTGGGTGCTGAAATACAGGAGTCATCGGAGTGAGCTGTAGCTCACGCTCAAATAAATTGGTTAGTCTCTAAGGTGCCACAAGTACTCCTTTTCTTTTTTCACAACTTCTTAGAGGCAGATTTGCTACATGAAGAAACTTGAGGGACGGTCTTTGTGAATATTATGGAGGAATCTTGGGTCTTCCTCTTAGATGCCCTCAAGGAGAGCAGTTCAGAAACAGTGACGGCAGCAGACTTATTCACAGAATGGTGTACAGAGGGAGTCCCCTGGCCAGGGGTAGAGGCCAGGTGCAGTGAACTCTTCATCATGAGGAATCGAAGTTTGATCTCCCTGTTTTTCTGGCTCTAGATTTTTAATGCCACATAGCACTTCTGGGAAATATAAGATTCTCTGAGTACAGATGCACTAGGACTAACCATCACTCATTGGGATTGCTTCCTGGCATGACAGGCAACATTTGAGACCAGGAGATCCCAGCATACCCTCCGAGAAAAATCAAACTCCCAGGAGAGGAGAAACTATCTACAGTACTAAAAAAACAGCTATATATTTATATTTAAACTACTACAGCCAAAATTACTACTAACTACTAAAAAAACCTCATGGGACACAGTGGAGGTAAAAACTCAGATAACTGCTAAGGCTCCATCTCAGGCCGAGAAGGAACTGAAGGCGGTTCATCCACGCAGTGCTATATAACAGCACAGAGCACGAGACTAAGTAACATGCATGTGCAGGCCAAACGGATACTACGATGAGAAATCTCCGATCAAAGGTGCAGGAGTCTCAAGCACACTTAGAATGGAGCACCCATAGGGACGTTACTCGAAGAACCAGTGGCTTACAGAATATATTAATTATACCACATAACTAACTGGGGATGGACGAGATAACCTCTTGAAGTCCTTTCCAGACCTTTTTATACAGGAGGGGACTTTGCATTTAGGGGTCTCAACACAACACAGGAAATCAGGTGTGTTAACCTACACATCTAAGAGAGATTACTCATTTATGAATGATAAAAGTGGGAACACTAAACATAAGCAGTCTCCCAACCACCAGATATCACTGCCTATCACGATGAACAACAAAGTCATTATTTCCTTTCTCTCCTCTCCCCCGTTTGTCTGTACATATACATCTGTTGGCTCTTGTTTATATTTAAGTATGTTGACACTGTAATTAGACACCAATGGCTGGACCGTGCCAGCTCACTCAGGCCAAGGGACTGTTTAATTACAGTGTAGACGTTGTGGCTCGGGCTGCCGCCTGAGCCCAAATGTCTATGCCGCAATTAAACAACCTCTTAGCCTGAGCACAAGTCAACTGGCCCGGGCCAGTCACAGGTTTTTAATTGCAGTGTACACACAACTTTAGACTATAAACTCTTTGGGGCAAGGGCCATTTTTCTGATATATGTTTGTACAATGCTATCACAGTGATGTCCTGGTCCATAACTAGGGTTCCTGGATGCTACAGTAATAAACTTTTTTTTAAAAAAAATTTGTAAGAATCAAAGTATTAAGTGTTTCCACAGGTGTGTGTCACTTCAGACAGATGAGCCAGTCTACTGGCTATCTGGTTCCTTTTGAACCTTGAACCAGATAATAAATGTGATATCCTCCCATATACTTGCTGGCATTCCAACTCAAGGTAAGAACAACTATTGTATCTTGATATCTCCCCTCCCCAAATCCACTTTCTGTTCTTCCTCTAAACAGCTTATCAGTAGTAGGATTGGCTATTTCCTTTCTCGGACTTTGATAACAGCCAACCACACTTCTCTCTCTGCTTCCCCATCAAATTCCCATGGTTCTTAAATTTGCATACAATGCTTTTGAATCAAATATTAACTTCACTCACTTAAATACAAATCTGAACCAAGTGTTTGATGGCAAACATGTTTAGAGAGGGATGCGATTTTAATTACACATTAATAGTCCATATCAATTTAGAAGTATGGAAGTTGTTTGAGTAGATGCTAAAGGCAAACAATTAGATAGGATTTTCGTATCCATCAAAAACTAGCTACATTAGCAGTATGTTTTTGAAACAATTTTTTTTTCAAAATGTGATAAACAAGATATGGACAAAGGAAAAGAGAGGAATGCTATCTACACTTTACATCTAGACATAATACATAAGAGTCCTTTTTACTAAATTAAGCACGAGGGCTTGTTTGTTTTTTAAAAGTCAGTAAATAAAAATGCAAGTACCAAAAGAGAAAGTATCGAATAAAAAAAATGGTTAGCAACTCACTTCATATGTGAAGCTTTTATAGTCCTGCTGGAACAGACTCTGAATTTAGAGCTTCTGCAGTGAGATCTTTCTAAATGAAATTTAGAGCATTAGCCAGAAACTGACTAAAAGTGGCACCAGATTCCTGCTCATATCATTTTTCAGATAATGTATTGTTGGAGATAGCTGGTGAGGTACAAAACAGAAAGCAGCTTAACAGATAAAGAAAGATTGGAGCACTCCTGATTCAGTATTGTTTTGATTTGTCAACTGAAGATTAGTTATGGAAATAATTCTATTCTATATAGGTTCTTATACTGCACTCATTAACATACAATCTGAGCGCCTTCCAGTAGCGCATTCAGCAACATGACTAGTATCTGTCATTAATGGAAAATGAACATGGGACATCAACATATCACGCTTCTAATTAAGTGTGTGGTGTAATGCTTATATCATAGCCTCACTTAAACTTAACACTTATAGTGGATTCTACAGCTGTGAGCCTATGAGTAATTAGAAGGTGTACACAGCCGCTGGATGAGAAAGCTTGCCTAATACGTGTTTTGATATTTTTATAGCAATGAGGCATCTATTAATATTTTTCTGTCAAACAACAAAAAATGTATACGTAAAATTAAATAAATACTTGTGGAAATTTGCCTGAACTTTTAGCAATAAATGCAACCTATTTTATTTTTATTTATAAGTTTTCTTTGATGATTATCACCATAGTATCAGAACTCCTTGAACATATGAATCAATTTATACTCAACATTTTTATGAGATGGGAAGTATGTCCATTTTACAGATTTAAAACAGAAGCACAGAAATTATATAACTTACTCAAGCTCAAATTTGTGGCTGAGCCAAGATCTCCTGAGTTCCAGTTCAGTGCTTAAATCACAAGGCAATTCTTGCTTCTACAATCTTTATGACATACAGGTATGGTGATAGTAAATTTCCAAGTCAAATTTTGGAATAATCTCCCATTCCTCCCTCCTACCCTCTCCCAGACATTTACATGAATGCAAGAGATCTAAAAGATCTGGTTATCTAGATTAGGGATTTAGAAATTTATTTTGATTGGTTATTACTTTGTTAAAGGATTGGTCACTGATTTTTGCCTCCCTAGTATATATAGGTTGCAACCAGCAAGTAAAATATAAGCTAAGTACCTGTTGAGTACAAAATTAGAAGAAAAGAGCATAAAGAGGCTCCATTCATTTCCTTGGCAAGCATAACCGAGCATAGCTATTTCCCAGGCCAATCTACCTAGCCCAGCACCAGGTACCAGGATATTAACTTTGGAGAGATCCCTGCAACAAAACAAAAATAGTAGTTAATCCTTTAGCCAATACGTCTTAATAGAATGTCTATGGTCTGGCTAAATACTGTGATTTTCATATATTTAAACAGAGATAATTCGATAAGAATTTTCATTTATATGTTATGATTTCGCCGTAGACAAATCAGACTTGTTGTGAACAGGTGCCCTGGGGGGAAAAAGCCCATCATACTGTAACAGAGTAAGTTATGGAATCTCGAAGTATTCTTTTTTTTGGAGGGGGGAGGTCGGGGGGGGGGGACGAAGAAGAGAAATTAAAAAAAATCTATAGGCAAAAACCTGATTTGTGAAAAACAACATTCACACCGAATAAAAGATAAAATAATTCACACTTAAGCAATCCTTAGTTGCGGTGTAATACAAAATTAAAAGACAGCTATTCTTCAAATCGTTTTCTTAACTTTTCAGACGAGCCCTCTAAAAAACAACTGTATTTGTTTGTAAAGGTGACTTGCAAAAGAAAAAAACAGGTTTGTGCCCCTTCCCCCCCGCCTTCTCTTGATGCAGAGTGACAACCTACTAAATTTTTAAATATTAGAAATTCAGGTCTTGTTTACCCTAAGAGAGTGCTTTTCCTTAAGGACTATGGACAATTGCAGACCTAGTAGGGTTTGACATCAGAAACACAAAATAAACGAAATCTTATTTATTGACATGTAAGTATTCAGCTGATTGAAAACTGTTAATATATTTAACTCAAGTACTTTTTATACATTCAGTACCCCCTTTGATTATGGATTTGGGAGCTCTTTCAAACTTTATTTACGTCACTGCAGGGCGTCTACCAATAAGAACAGAAAAGGTAAGACTTGATATTCCTGATGTTTCTAGAAAAGAACAAGCAGACAAAAACTGAGGGAGGAAAGAAGGGGGAGAAAATTTCAGGCCCCTTTTGTATGTCAAAAGCAAAAAATAGTGTGCACTCAACTTCTTCTCCCCCTTTGCAAGTCACCTTTAAGTCAAGAAGTCATTAAATGGATGTAACTAAGACACTTTAAAACAGCATCCGACTAGTATGCAGGACAAGACAATCCCAATTTTCAAGATGTGGAGGTGGGATAAAATGAAATGCAGTCTTCAGAATATTGAGAACCAGGTAGCCAGAATGGTTACAAAGAGTTGGCATTACCATGTTTCCAAAGCATAAAGAGGAGTGGGGAAAGTCAGCTTTGGAAAGACTGGCTTCAAGAGACAAATCCAGATTGCAGCGAAGAAAATGCTGACCAGCTTTAAAGATGGTCTTCTTTAAAAAAGACCATGTATGCAGTATAATTATAGCCATGTCGGTTAGGTAATATCTTTTATTGGGCTAACTTCTTTCTCTCTCATCTACATAAGTCGGTTCAATAAAAGATATTACATCATCCACCTTAAAAAAAAAAAGTTACAAACTTGTTCCTTGAGATGTGTTGCACATGTCCCTTCCACTTCAGGTGTGCGCGCCCAGTGCACTGTTGGAGAGTTTCCCCTCAGAAGTACCCATCTGCTGCCCTGCGCTAATGCATGGTGGTATACAGGGTGGAACCACCCCAAATCCAATCAGTTCCTTTTTACTGGAGAGAACGATATGGAGGGTTAGTTATAGAATGGGCACATGCAACTTACGTCCAAGAACAACAGTTACTGAACAGGTTAGTAACTGTTTCTTCAAGTGATTGCACATATCCATTCTACTTTAGGTGACTCACAAGCAGTTCAATCCCACCTCCAGCTTGGAACCTACCTGAATAAGGACTGGAGGACCACATACCCAAATACAGCATCATCTCTAGATTGCTGAGAGTCAACAATGTGAGGCAAAGGTAAGCACTGAAGACCAAGTTGCTGCTTTACAAATGTCTAGGACAGGCACATGAGCTCGTAAGGCTGCAGAGGCTGCATGTGATGTAGAAGAATGTGCTTGTATTCTGCTTAGTGAAGCTACACTGGCCAAGTCATAACACAAGCCTATACAGGAGGATATTCAAGTTGAGATCCTTTGAGAAGAGACTGGGAGACCTTTCCTCCTATCTGCAACTGCCACAAACAACTGTGAGAATGATCTAAACTGTTTGTTAGTATTCTACTTGGACAGGACCACTCTCCTGATATCCAAAGCGTGGAGTCTCTCTTCATCCTCATGAGCATGAGGCTTCGGGAAGAAAGAAGGTAAGTACATTGCTTGACTGATACGAAAATGAGACACACCTTAGTAAGAAATTTTGGATGTGGACCTAGATAAACCTGTCTTTGTAGAAGACAGTGTATGGAGGAGAAGACAGAGCATACAATTCACCTACTCTCCTGGCAGAAGTGATTGGCACCAAAAAGAGTACCCTGATAGAGACACACAACAAGGAGCATATAGCTAACAATTCAAAGGAAGGAACCATAAGTTTTGACAACACCAAACTCAAGTCCCAAGGAGGAACAGGATGCTCCACCTGAGAGTACCACCTTTCCAAACCCTTCAAAAACCTTATTGACATAGTATTGGGGGGAAAAACAGAATTATCAATTGGAGTGTAGAAACCTAAAATAGCTGCTAAATGAACCTTAATTAAATGAATAGCCAGACATTGTTTCAGGAACAACAGATAGCTCAGAATATGATGTGGTGGAAACTGGACTTGGAAGACCTCTTTCTAGTGGGACAAGATGAAGAATCGTTTCCATTTAATCAGATAAGTATACTTAGTGTATGGTTTTCTATTCTTTAAAAGTGGATTTTGAATTTCCTTTGAACAAACTTCTTCCTGGGGCATTAACCACAGAGCATCCAGGCTGTCAGGTAGAGGACCTGCAGGTTGGGGAGGTGACTGTGGTCCTGGGAGACCAGATTTTGATCCAGTGGTAGAGTCAGCAGATCTTTGACCGAGAGGGACAGCAGAGTGGAAAACATTGCTGATGTCATGCTGGAGCTGCAACTTTGACTTGGGCATGAGCCTGTCTCATTTTCAACAATATCCTTGGTATGAGTGGGAGTGGAGAAAGTGTATACAAGAGCACGCTTGCCCAGGGCAACAGGAAAGGGTCCGTGAGGGACCCTGGACTGTGACCTTGTTGAGAACAAAACTGATTACACTTCCTGCTGACTTATGTTGCAAAGACATCTACACAGGGAGTCCCCCACAGCCACAAAACGGATAAGTGGTCAGTCATAAGACAGACCACTTATGACTAGTGAATGATCTGCTTAACCAGTCTGCCAGACCATTTTTCACACTTGCAATGTGAGAGGCTTTGAGGCTGATTGAACTGGCGATGCACAAGTCTCACAGCCTGAATGACTCTTGGCATAGCAGAGTCAACCAGATCCTCCTTGTCTGTAGGTACACGTAGACTTCTCTTGATATGAGGAAGGAAGACTTGACAAATCAGTTGAATGGCCCTCAATTCTCTGATGTTTATATGCAGAGTTAAATCCTGTATAGATCATAAAACTTGTGTCTGCAGAGAACCCAGGTGAGACCACCTGCCTGAGGGCATCTGTAACTAGGATTAAAGCTGATTGAGGAGAAGCAAATGGTACTCCAGGCACACACTTGAGGGGTCTGTCCCCCAGCCCAGCGTAGCCAGAATTTGAGTGGGCATTTGCACTGCCACATCTAGAGGGTGATGAATTGGCAAGTAAACTGAAGCCAGCCATCCTTGCCATTTCCTGAGATGGAGCCTGGCATGCTGGACTACATAAATGCATGAAGCCATACGCCCCAGAAGCCTGAGGCAATTTCATATTGTCATGGTGGGGATGAATTTTCAGGTCTAAAAGACTAGCCAGCATCTTCTGGAATTGTAATTGCAGGACAAATGCCTTGGCTTCTGCAGAGTTCAAGACTGCTCTTATGAACTATTTTTTGCACTGGAGACAGGACTTCTCTGTGCTGATAAGCAACCCTAGTGTATCGAAGATAGAATGGATGACTGTCACGCTGGACAGCAGCTGAGTCTTGGACTGGCCTCTCACCAACCAGTTGTCCAGGTAGGGAAAAACTTGAAATCTTAATTTTCTAAGAAATGCCACCACCACTGTCACACAGTTTGCAAACATACATAGGGAGCTGAACAGGCCAAATGGTAGGCATGCAAATTGGTAATGGCACTGGTTGACCATATATCTCAGGAATTTCCTGGGGCTCTGATGTATTGGCACATGGAAACCTGAGTCTTTCAAATTGATGGCAGCATACCCATCTCCAGGGAAGAGATAATAGAAGACAACATGACAATGTTAAATTTTATCTTTTTCCAGAGAGGTCTGTTGAGCTACCGCAGGTCTAGCATGGGTCTCCTTTTGCTTTTAGGACCAGGAAATAGCAGGAATAAAATCCCTTTTCTATGAGAAACTGCGGAACCTCCTCTGTGGCTGCCAAATGGAGGAGAGATTGCACCTCCCAAAGCAGAGCTTCCTCATGAGAGTGGTCCCTGAAGAGCGACTGGGAAGGGGCTTGGATAGGGTGACCAGATAGCAAGTGTGAAAAATCAGAATGGGTTGGGAGGTATATAGGTGCCTAGCTCAGACAAAGCCCCAAATATCAGGACATCTCGTCACCCTGGGCTTGGAAAAAGGGGGACAGAAATGAACTAAAGGGTGTATTCCACTGTACTTAAGACCCACTGGTCTCCAACGATTTGAGACCAAGCACTTGAGCAGGTAGATAGCAGGCTGGTAAACAGAGGGATAGGATAGGCTGCATGCTGTCCTTGACATAAACATAAAAATATTTGCTTAGAACTCCTAGTCTGTTTGGATGAACTAGAAGCTGCTGCAGAAGAAGGGGGAGTTTTCTCCAGTAATCTCTGTTCTTTTTCCTCATTGGGTCATGGTAGCGAGGAATGAAAGCAACTAGTGATGTGGTTCCTGAGGACAAAACTGCTTTTAAATGCCTGAATATCAGGCCATGCAGCCTGTCAGTCTGCTCAGAGAAGAGTGACAACCCTTCAAAAGGAAGGTCTTGTATGGTCTGTTGGACCTCGAGGGAAACCTGGCAA